AGTCATTCCTTTAACCAAAGCGCTTGGAAGCAATTAAGACAAACCGACAGGGCAGAGGACTGACTAAAAGTGGACGTGTGGATTTGTTCAGTAGTGGACACATGCCCGCACCAACATTCTTATGATTCGTCTTTTACCCACTTCTTTTTGGGACACTTGACTGCTTTTAGTTTCTTTTGAAGTTGTTTCATGGTCATCCTCACGCTTACTTCAACATTGGCAATGACGCCAGCCTAGTCAATGAATGAAGTTCGTTTATTATTAGCGGCTGCCTTTTGCTATGCTGGAAGCTTTTCAAACAACTTCATCAACATCTTCACTTCTGTCAACTAATCTGGATAATTTTTTGCTAACTAGCCTTCTCTTATGCACCGCAAGGGCATCCTCTTCAGTAGTTTGTTTAGTGGCGTTAGGGACTTCCAAAATCGTCAACACAGACTTCATTGTCCTCGTTCCACCTGGACGTTTCTCTAATTTCGCCTGAAGTTCTTTACAAGAAGCTTCGAAAATAGTTACAGGTTGAATTTATGGAAATTAGTACCTTGAGACATTGATTCACAGTTTCTGCATCGCCACTGTTACTCTCAAAGAACCTCGAGGAGTCATTTTTTGTGGTGATGCAGAACAGTTTGTGCACTTCGTTAAATGTCATCTTGGTCCTGTACCAAAGCTGCTGATGATTTCTACTCCTGTTAAAATCTAACCGCAAATGCATGGTTTGTTTGTTAGGCTCGGCATCTACTGACTGAGGAAAACGCTCTGGCACACATGATTTCGCGCCTAGTGCTTACTGTGTTGGACAACAGCGAAATATTGCCTGGCATCTACGATCCACGACGTGGTCACAGGACCCTTTTAATGCAGTTTTGTGACGGACTTGACTCACCATCAGCTGCGCTGCCCACTCTGTTGGCATCGCGTTTTCAAGCTCTGCGCAACGCCAACACCAGGGCCTGGGATCAGGCCAAAAAGGCTGTTGAAGCAGCCAATGGTGGTGGCGGCAATGATTATCTAATGACGTTTCATTGGCGTCACTCGCCCATCGAGCTACCCGCCTTCAATCCTTTTGAGCGTCTTCTTCACACAACCTGCGATGACCTGCATTACCTCCTTACCAGCCTGCTCAATGTAAGACCTCTGCCAGGATGGTGGGAACCCAAAGCTAGGAAACACTTCCTCTGCTTTTTTCACAAGTTTCTCAAACTCCTATGCTACACGCAGGTACGTGCTTTCGATTTTCACTTGGCAGAAAAATTTCGGTTTCTAAGTGTAAATCGCAGCCCTTGCAAGGCTGATCCCGAGGGCAATTCTTCTGCTTTATTTTCTGAAAATGTTTTAGAGAGTTTCGCTATGGAATTTAGAATCAGTGTTAAGGTAAATGCCTTCAAATGTCTTTACAAATAGGTATGTGTCTTGTAAAATTTTCGGATAAAATGCTGTAAAATTGCCAGCAACTACGCCCTAAATTTGTATGGTTTTCTTCCTCCTCAAATGAAGGTGTGCTAACAAATGATATAAAAAAACAGATTCTGGGACGACAAGAGAAATATTATTGAGATTGTTGAAGCAGTTATAGGTTATATGGGAATTAGCTATGTCCAAGTGCAATTAAGTTATCTGGTCTGCACTAGTGCGAAGTGAATGGAATGATGAGCTAGCTGATGGTTTATTTCCATTCATAAAAGCATTCATTGATTGCTTTCCTAAGGCGGAGGATCCAACGACGGTTTGTTTGAATCACTTATTTTGCCTGTATGAATATGCAATGGCTTCTCTTTAATGCAGCATCGTTTTTGTTTTCAGGTACCGCTTAAACCACGTGGCTTTTTATTAACCCTATTTACAAAGGAAACAGCAGTCAGCCTTTTGTATGCTACTACCTTATGGGTATCGTTGCCCTTTCTCCTCAAGGGCAGTAAGACTCACTCAGTTAATGGTTCTGAATATACTCAGTGTCTGTCTTAAATATCTTGTTTTGGTTCGACAGCGTACTCTTATTAGATTGGCGCGTTGGAAATGGTATCAATTAGTGATGCAGCTGCGAAATCTATGCATTGAGTAAAAGTGAGCTTACGTCACAAGTGTGGTAGCATCTAAGTACAAGTGGCCTTTTCTGTTCATAATGTTTAATTAATCCCGCTTCTAATGTTTTTGAGCGCCTAAGATTCCGTTTTGATGTTAACTAATTGATCGGTCTTTACGTGATTTCTGTAGGATATGAACGGCCTCCAACGGGCTACTCAAGCTCATGTTGAGATTGAACAGGAGTGGATCAGCACCTTCAAAATGTTGTCTCACCTTCATCGCAACCTCCAGCTCGTTGTTCAAGTGGCCAGTTCTGATAAAGAACTCCTTCTCGAGACCATTAAAGCTACTATAGACGTTCGTTTCACTCTAGAGCTCTATAAAGTCTTTGCGTTTTAATACCTTCCTTTCGTTTAGGCCTTTGAAAGACGTGTTGCCATAATCGATCGGTGTTTCCACGTGGGAGAATTCGATGGGCCCTACACTTCTCCGCGTGACATTGATGCACTGAGGGCGCAGTGCCTGGGAGCCACTTCTGCTATTTATGATTACGACATCTTGACACTACGGTTCAGTGTGATGCAGCCAATACCACGGCTTTTGGCTGCTCTCTTTGGACATGCACTTGAAATGGGTCTTCCATTAAGTAGAATTGGTCTTGATGATAAGGTTGGTCATACCTTTTATTCCCTGTTTTATTTTTCCTTCTTTATTTTGAAGGAAATGTCATCCATGAAATGTGTGTGTATTCTCTCTTTTCATGCAAAGCAATCGTGCTTCAAGTTTGATTATTCACTTATGTTTTCGCAGTGTAGTATTATGTTCTTTCTGGCTAGGAATTCGCCAACCTTGTTGTTGAGCGACCACTTCAGAACATCGCGTTTATCGCCCAGTGTTCAGCTAATCTCTGGGTTCGAAACGGGCAAATGATTCGAAATATTGTGAGTTCAGCCATGTTCTTCTTGTTACCTGTCTCACTTGTTCATTATTCGCCTACCAATAACTTTTCAGATTTACAATATGTTTGAGGGTCTTCGAGCAGAAATAATTGATCGAGATTACCAACTTCTCCAACAAGCAGCGGCTGTTATACCTCCAGACGAGTTCATTGTTCGGCTTATTCATAAACTTAATCTTCTCGATTTCATGAAGTAGGTACTATCCATTCTCCACGATATTTGCGCCAGATAGGTTTACTCATTACATGCTTAATGTTCTCCTGTCTTAGCGAGGATGAAACCTCCATTAAGCCGGGTCGCGTTCAATTCCTGGAAACGCTTCTTCGTATCCTTCTCTACTTAGTAACCCATCGTACAACCGTCGGAGTAGGTTACTTTGATCCCAATATTTACACGTCGGCGCCCTCCTCTGCCTCCCTCTTCCCTGACGCTAAGCTGGGGGAAGTCGACGAGGCATTAGAAGTTAACTACGGCCAGCTCCTTGATGACGTGGTCCACGTACTTTGCATCAAACCTATGACACACTCCAGGCTTCTCTCTGTTCTTCCGCCTCAGGCTCCAGGCTGCGTGTTGCGGAAGGCTCCACTCTATCCCCGACACGAAACAGGGGCGTCGAGTTGTCCTAACACATGGTCAGGGTCATGGAGGGACAGTATTGAGGAGCCACTTTCGAAGATTCTTCAACAAGTTGCAACCCTTTCTACCTGTGGCACAAAGAGAGTGTATACCATCAAACCAGAGGCCATTGTGAATAGGTTTAATCGTTTTTATTATGGTTATAAACAGACGGAGCAGACTATGGTGCGTACCATGTGATGTTAAGTCCTGATTTTTTATTGCGGCTAAGCTTGACGGTCCCCTAATTTGTCTTGCCTGCCCAGGCTGAAGAGTACGTGACACGAGTTCTGAGGCAATGGTCGCAAAAATCGGGTGACCTATCAGGCACTCGATGTCAACAGCTTCCCACGCCGCCTCCACTCCCACGACCACGACGACGCTTCGTGTCTGCGATGGAGAAGGGCCTGTTGCAGTTAGTGCAGTGTACAACCTTCGTGCGACTTCTTCGCCGACTTCTCAGCGTTGCGGTGATTCACAACCCTTCACAATCTTTTTGGTCGGAGACACTCACAGAACTCACTCTCCACCTCATTGCTGCAGCTCTTTATGAGGATGCTATCGCATTTTCGTGAGATTTTTTTCTCTGTGTCAATACACCGAATTCTTCGTTTTACGAAACGCCTTTCGCAGATTTCAAAAATTTGATGATGCAGTCAATTTCTGCACTTTTCATTGCTTGCATGAGCTATTCGGCTCATTTGAAAAAAATTTTGCGAATGGCAATCCACGCTGGTTATTTCGCACATCTATTTCCTTTTAATACTTATATCTGTGCTCAAACCACGCAGTATTAGATTGCTTGACATGGTTGTCGCATGCTTCTGTATTGATGTGATTGCTACTAGACACACCTAATGTTATTGTTTCTAAGCTCCACAAATGTCAAAGAGAACCGCTCAAATAGATTGTTTTTCTGCTACACTTATCGTTATTCTCAATGCTTGGTTGAAATAAGCACCTAGTGAGTACGAACCAACATTACTGTCCTTTGCGGACAAGAAGTCGCAAAGGAAAACGACATTTAGTCGCGCAAACATGTCTGCGATCGTTTTTGTCAACTCAGTTTCAAAGTTGCTGTGGGCCTGATTTTTCAAGTTTCTTCGTTTTCATGCAGAGCGATGGGTCGGCGTCCCTTCATAGAGGCTGTGGCCCGGGTTCCGATCGAGAAGGAGACGCCGGGTGAGTTACAGCGATTGGCGGCCTCACGGCATTGGATTCAGGCGGAGCCTGTCAGGGAGTCAGACTTCGAATTCTCAATTGAAAAGTAACTCTCCGTTCTACTTGCTTGTTGTTATTTTGTTTTTTTTTACGGATTTTTTCCCTTTAAGTAACTGTATTCTCCCGCTGCTGTTGGAGCTGCAGAATGACCGGATGGATCCCAAGGTGGCCCATCTGGCAAAGTATGTACTTCATTGATTGCGTTTGGTTGTGTCTTTGTATGTATACACCCTCTTCTTTATGCAGGTGGACCGTAGATCTGTGGCATTGTGTGAATGCTGAGCCACAAGGTGAAGTTTCCGCAGATCTGACCACCATGAAATTTCATAATTTGGTGAGGTTGATCCCTTGATTTTGTGTGTGTATATGAGCTGTAGATAGGACTTGGTTCTGTATTCACCTGATTTATAATTCTCACAGGGATCGGAGGCGTCCAAGAAGCAGCAAATGCTGGAGGCCAAGCAGCGCCGACGTGCAAAAATCATGGCGCAGATGTCAAAGATGCAACAAAAGTTCATTGAAACCCACTTCAAGGAAATCTCCAGCGCTAGTGACAACGATCAGCAGATGGTTAGGACCTCTATCCGGCACATTTATCACATTTATTGTTTCAAGTCACCTCAATTAAGTGTAACGTATCTGAGTTTCCCCTTTTTGTAGGAGACAGCTGATTCCCTATCCTTAAGCTCGAATAATTATCTCTCCCTTGACGAGGCTGTGACGAGTGCCTCCTTCGCCACCTTCAGCGCTCTAGGTCCTAATCGTGTGGAGGAACGCATTTCTCAAGTGTTGGCTAAGGAAAGACCTCTAGTCACGTGTGTACTTTGTCTGGTGAGTTAATTTTTATTAGGCTTCATTCTTATACACTTTTATTTTAGCTACTTTAATAACTTCTGGGTCTTTCACTCATATAGGATGAAGTGCTAGAGGAGGAGAAACATCACATGGTGATTGCCGCGTACGGTAGTCGCTCTAACGTTCTCTCGGTCCCCCTGCCTCATAGTCAAGCTGTCGATTTCAGCACTGGTGCCTGCAGGCCCGATTTTGTGAGGGTTTGCTCCCTTTTCATTTACTTTGAAGCTTCCATTATCTGTATTCTAAAGCTTTGAGATATTTCTTTCGTTGGCGTTTCTAGTTGATTCTAGCCCCACAAAGTCCATTTTGATATAAATTTTAAGCTCATTTTTTATTACCTATGAATCACACTCATTAGTAAAAGTAGTCGCATTACTAAGTAGTATTTCTTGGAATTGATTTTGATTGAAGTTATCAGAGTTTTCCTTTGAAACGTGCAATTTCTTTCTCCTTCAGACTGAGCATACGTTGGGGGGAGTTGCTACAACAGCAGTCGCCGCCTCTATAGGCAGCCACGAGGTCGTTTTGACTCAGTTGCCATACCTTCTTAGCGGTTTGATTCCTATTGAACAACCAGGTGAAAGTGATCTCAGCAGCACTGATGGGGCATGCACTGTCCAAGCCTCATGTGAGTGATTAATGTTTAACTGAAATGAAATGTGTTCCTTGTACCTGACATTTAAAGTGGAATAATCTTGATTTTACAGCCTCCATGGCAGGAGGCAGTCATTCATCGGCATCGACGCCGGCATCATGGATGAGGAAATCAGATGCGCTTGATCCCTGGTTTCAGCGCCCTCTCATCTCTAGCAGGTGTCCAGTAGGAGAGGAGGGTACGTTCATCTCCACCTGTCCTCACTTCATGCATGCTACTTGCAAGGAGCGATACTCGGAGCGGTTAAAGGAGCAAAACGATGATACGCGACAGTACGTAATATTCTATTATTATCTATTCTTTTGCCACTTGCTGTACCAATTAAAAATCAGTCTCCGCTTTCTCGTAGGCACAGATATGCTCACAGAACACCTGTGTACGAGTTTCGCTGCTCTCTTTGTCGTTCTCTTGCCAATTTCGATTTTCCAGTTTTTGAGCGTCTGCAGGACTCAGTACCCATCGAATGGCTATCAAGATGTCTCCGAAGGCCTACTGATCTGGCTTCATGGCTAAGAAACCTCCATGAATGGCTTAACGAATCTCCAAAGCTGTCCACCTCAATAAACCTCAAAGTAAACTTCAGCATTACTGAGGTATGGCAGTCACTTTTCCGTGTGGTATTTCAGATTGGGGTTTCCTGTATTTTCGTTCTTTTATCTTCCTTACCCGCAACAGCTTACGAACGTTCCAGACAGTTTTTCTATGCTCTTTGGCATTTTGACTGACAGCAGCGCCCATGACCGAGATCGCGTTCTTGAAGAAATCTGTGCAATTTGCGAAGGTTCTTTCTCCCGACAAGACTCCGAAGAGGCGAAACAGGGGGAGGCTAGGAGTGGAATATCGTCAGGGGCCTCAGAGCATCGGTCGCGCTTGCCTCGTGCCTTTGCGCGTCGTTTTTTTGGCACTTCGTCGTCATCTTCGCATGAAGGCAGGACGGTCCTTTGTCGCGGACAACAGGCAATTGTTCCCCTTCTACAATTCCCTCGGTTAGATAATTTCAGGGTATCCGAAAATCTTTGGAGCTTTGTGAAAAATCTGGTTCATCTCAGTCAGCCAAGGCCAATCGAGTGCGTTCAGCCTCTTATTGCAAATCCTGGGACGGACGGTCCCGCCAACTTTAGTAGGTTTCATAGTGTTATGAACCCCATTAGTGATGATGCTGATGTAATCACCGTTTTTTTCTTCAGTGGTGTTGATGAACAACGCTGAAGATGCACCGATTGGACTTCCCGGGGTGGACCTTGACGAAGCTGATGAAGACAACGATAACAACAACCTTCTGGATAATGATACAATAAATGCGATTCTAAATGAGCCTGGAACACCTGCATCGGAGGTCAATGCGTCACTGATAATGCGGGCCATCGCATCAGACACACTTGGATCGCTGAACAGGGACCATGGACAGCGTCATACCGGCCCTAGTCCTACTGTCTCTGCTGTAGCTTCTCTACCGCCATGCGTGTGCGAGGCGGTGGAGGAGTTGCACACTAGTTTGGTCAGCTGCTACTCACACCTCTTACTGCTCAGTGGACGCTTAGAGACAACTGTAACAGAGTCGAGTCGACGCTTAGGCCAGGCGGTTAGTCGGCTGCGTGCGGCTCTTGTGTGCACTCGGCGACGTAGCCTTCAAGCCCTTCATGCTGCAGCTTCTGCCTGGCGCACTCTTCGACACTCCATCGCCTACACTCTTATTGATTGGGAGAGGGTATGCCGCATTCATCAATCTCGCTACCTCAGCTAATGCTTAACGTTACGATCCTAAGTTTACTACTTTGCTTGAGTGTGGCAACCCTTGGTTCAATAGACGTGTTATGCATCCTGACTACTATGTGTTTTAGCACAACCTATAATTTAGTCACTATTTTCATTCGTTTTTCCTAGATGCATCCACTCACGAACTGCATTGATTTTTTATGTTTGCTCTTTGAAGTGTGGGCCTCATGCTCAGTTTTCTGAGTAATCATTTTAAAGGAAATCCACTAAAAATGACATTTAAATGTAGGTAATATGTTTTCTGGGCTTTTGCGTTTCTAAATTCATCTATTGCATCCCTTATGTTGTCCTGGCAATATTGCGGAACTCCCAAGAACCTTCATTCTACTACTACTGAAGACCAACAAATCAGTTTCTTATGAAACACCTTTTAACTGTAATTAGCTGTGTTAGTCGCTTCCTCTGTTACGTCCTAGTAGAACCAGCATGGTTAACTCCATAACCCTTGTATGCGAAACTGCATTTTTCTGGATAATTTTTTGGTAAACAGTTCTACCGTGATGGTAATTGAGATTGGTTGTCTTGCTTCCGCAACGCAGTACCTGCGCGTGTTGGGCCCACAAAGCCACTTTTTCAGCAAAGACATGGCAGAACGCCACAAAACGGGTCTTTGCTACTTGATTCGATCCGCATTCCACGCCCACGCGCGTCTGGCGCCTGTTTCCAGGGGCGTATTTGGACGCACTAATGGAGATACTCGGATTCGTCAGTGGCTTTTGCAGCGTGATGATCCTGAGTGGTGGTGGTGGTACCACTACTTCGCTCCTCAACCAGGTACAATTAGTTTAGGAAGTGGTTTCTTTGCTATTTAACTGAGCTTATCTCTCTTCCACTTAGACGAAGATTTCAAGTCTTCCTGCTGCTCTCACAATAGCGCAAGAAAGGCTTCGCATTTGACTGAGAACGTTATGCGTATTGCTGTTACCCAGGACGCCATTCGCCTCTGGCGTCTCCTCCTACCTGACTCCGGTAGCCTTTGCGACAACAAACCCATCACTTCGTCCTCACCTCAACTCTCTTCACCACTCTCGGTGTCTTTGGCACTCGAGACGTCTTATCAATCACCTGATGCTCTTGGTGTTCCAGCTAGCATCCTCTGGGAAGTGAGTTGATCTGTTCCTCATTCTACCCAAATGACAGCCTAATCGCATTTGGATCCCCTTCTTTCATACTAGGCCGATATCACACACCTTTTCATCAGCCTGCTCTTTTTGCGCCCGGGTCTAGAGGGCACAGACCAACGCGTAGAATGCCAGCGAGTACACCTTCATGAACGCGTTTCCATGGCCGAGGCAATGGGTCAGCTCCCTGATGTCGCCTGTAACGAAGGCTTTCCACGACTTCCTATGGGTGACTCACACGAGGCATTCACTTTGCGCCTTTGCTACCTTGCTCTTCTTGTTCAAACTCTTCTCTCTTGGCAGCCGCAACACTCTTTAGATGAGTTTACTAACGCCGCTATGCGGGAGCCCTGTGCCATCCTTTGGATGAATGACAAGGTATGCTGCTGTCACAAAGCCGTTGAAAATGCCGATCACATTATTTAACCCACGACCTGCTTTTCTTACAGTTGTTGGCTGTACGCCGGCGTTTGCAACATCTCTCCGGCCTTCCTGTATGCACGATTGAGCCCACATCGCAAAATCTGACTCATCTCTTCACATACATCCATTCTCGCTGTCTACCGTTTTTGCGTATTGCTGCTTTTTTGATTTCTCAGATCACCAACCTCGACGTGCCCTCAGAATTGTCACATCCGCCCGAAGACAAACATTCGTGTACGTCTCTATCGGCATCAAAATCTCATTTTCTTCGCTCTACGTATATCTGGTCATGATCGCTTCGTAATCCATTATTTTCTAGACGAATTCAGCATGTTATTGGCATTTCTGGGTCTGCCCCAGTCACCCTCAGATCTTCTTGTTCTTCTCTCTGATGCAACTGGTGACGTAGAGGGGATCACAGCGCCTCCGCGCTTCGTTGCAGAAGCGTCAGCATCCAGCTCCCTGTGGCTGGCGAGTCTGATGACTTCGTGGTGTCTTCTTGGTCGGGACTCTGTCTCTCGATCCCTCTACACAAATCAACTTCTAGCTGTCCATCTACCACCTTCACTAAAGCTGAAATCGACGTCGCCTCTTCTTCCCGAACCCTGCATAAATCCTCCCCATCTTATCCGAATACCCAAGGAATATGTCTCTCTCATGGCTCTTGCAACGGAATTAAAGTAAGCTTCCATTGCATCAAGCCTCTCGAACTATAAAAAAGGAGCTGTCATTTGTTGCTTCTTTTTTAGGAGCGTACACACCGGTAGCAACATCCACTCGGATCCAAGTCTGTGTCTGGTGTGCGGAGCGGTTGCATGTTTTGCCTGCTATAGCTGTCGACGATTTGAGACGATTCCAGAGATGACTGTCAGTTCAGAGAATGGTACGGTCAATACTGTGGGGCGTCGAGAGGCCGTAGTCTACGATATTCAGGCACACGTGCGTCGTTGTCACTCGGGATATGCCATGGTGATGCTCTTCACTGGTGGGGTTCTCCTCTTCTCTGATCAGGGTCGTCGGACCACAGAGCTGACAAGTCCATACAGAGATGAGTTTGGCGAGCCCGATGTTGGTCTTCGGTAAGTCTATGTCTTTTGCCCATCTGTGAAAATGCAAAATTTGGCTTTGAGTGTGATTTGAGTTTGTGGCCTTTGTGTATTCAGACGAGGCAATCCGCTATTCCTCAATGAGAAAGCTTATGAGGAGTTAAATCAAATTTGGCTCAACCATCAAATGAACAGTGCGACGTCAGCGAAACTGTATCTCCTCTAGTACATAGAGTCCTGTCTTTCATATCCTGAGGAACGTCCCAACCCTTTTTCTATCACAATCCACCTTATCATCCTTCTCCCTCGTTGTAGTCATTTGTTTTATCATCTCCATCTCTAGACGACTTACATCTTCGTGAAACCATCCGCTATCATTGCTATCGCCGATGGCTCATGCATGCGTCAGAGGTGTTTGGTTAGGTCAGGGCTTTATATTTCTCTTCATGAGCTTACTCGCTCCACTATCGCTACGCTGTCAGTGATATTTATACTTGACGTTTCATAAAAGACATGATTATGGCTATTGTAACGGGTTTTCAAGGTAGAGGATGTCACCAGCATATTGAAAGGCTTCGTTGAATATTAGTAAGAGCGGTTACTTTTGTCCTGAGGTTGCTATTGCCATACCTCATTCTGATTTCCCCATCACGTGTTTTCAGCCGAATGAATGTAAGTATTTCAACTGGAAAATTTTGTGATAAGTGTTGGTGTGTAATACGAGTTCTCTTTGCGGGTTAGACGTAGTTTGGTCATCATGGGACCTGCTGATTCGATGCATTGCTTATTTAAGAGTAGCCGAATCACCAGCTCTTTTTTCCCAATGTTTGAGGATGGACATCGAGTTTGTAGAAATTGGTTTAAATGTGAATGGAATCTGCACTGCTGTTTAAACATCCGATTCCTATAGTGAGTAAAGGAAGTCAGCGAAATTATTTCATGACGGAGCGGCTGTGATAATGGGTACATTGCGAGCATGGTGCCTTAGTATTTCTAGACCTGAATGGAGCTAGTCTTGCTTCTAAGGCGTAAGTCCGTTAACGATGCAAGATGTCCTGTGTTTGAATAAACATGTGGCAATATAGTTCACAAAAGGGTGGCAATTATATTTGTGTCCTTCTGAGAACCTCCTAAGGGTGAAAGAGGGCATAGCACTCGCGTAAAGTACGTATTCTTTGGTCTCCTCGGGAGTTTTGTGTTCTAGATATCGTTTCGTCAGACGAATGTACAATAGCTGAGTACCAAACCAGAGTTAAGAATGAAACGTAGAATTGACTTATTTCGTAGCCTTTTAGTCTTGCCACTCGACGCCCCTTCCCCAACCATTCTCAACAGGTGTAATCCTAATTGGCAGGTCTATTGAATCTGAGATTTCGCACTCTGAAAGTCGTCAGAGGAATGATGGAAACTAAGGCTCATTAGGTATGCCCATAACCAATCAAAGTAGCACTGCTCTAAAAGCGGTTCATTTAATAATTGAACAACTAAGGCCCTTCTGTAGAAGTAAGGCCTAGTGTTGGTTTCTCCTTGCCAATGTTTTCTCCTCACCACTATCTTAGCGTGTTTATTTGGATTGAAGGTTTGTATAGCTCTGTGAGGTGCGGTAGATAACTAAATGAGCGTTTTTCTAGAGGTTTCGCGACTATAGCTAGTGTCGCTTCAGGTGGCGAAAGCGGTTGCTGCCGAAAGTCGATGCCGTTTTCAACCTTTTGGTTGGAACAGTCAATCTCAGCATTTGCGATACTTTCATACAGAAGTATAAATCTGTTGCATTTTCGTTGTTGTCAATGAATCCGTAAAGTCAATTTCAAATAAAACAGGGTATCGGATGCAGCACAAAAATCGGGCAAAAGGCCACCGAAAGATACTTTAAGGTAGACTACGTAATAATAAAATTAACTAATAAGCCATTCGACTAGTCTGATTATGAGTTGGAAATTTGCTTTCTGGAAGTAGGTTCTTCTGATCATTATGTTGTGGTGATCGTACGGTGCGTTTGCATACCACGAAACCCTTTTATGAAGATTTGTTGAGGCGTTATCAAGAAAGTTTGTACAGACGCAACCAATGGCAGCTGAGCTCATCGATACACTTCTTTTGGCGACGCGAGAAAACAAACTCTTAGGGACATCAATGCAACCGACACCATCTGCATCCCCGATGGTGAAATCGATGGCTCTATCCACTACGACGGTTTAATCGCCTTCATTTTATCTGCCTATTGGAAACCCAACGATTGCCTGGCCCTGGGGATTTAAACTCGGGTACAGTACTCGTGAGAACTTATTTGCCTTGAATCCAGAAACCAGACACTAGGCGCAGCTTTCATCAAGTCGAGCGCAAGAGTCGCCATTGGAACAAACTTAAGCTACCATAACCATGAGAATTCTCAGCGCAATAAACTCACCCGGTATATGGCGGGAGAGTCTCGAAAACATCCCCGAGGGTCTGGAGAGGATGGTGAGAAGGATTAGATGGAAAGGAGTCCCCTCTGCCAAAGAATTTATTCTGTTTCAGATTCGTGTGGTAATGCTGTAAGGAGGCAATGACGACCAGAATACGCTGTATCGGAAATTTCCCCACTTTTGCGTCAACCATAACTCGATGGTTTTGGGAGCTCTATTAAGGTAATCCCTAATGTGAGTTGAAGTCCACACTTGATTGCTCTGGGTTCGCGTCTTGTATAGGTGGAGCTGTGAAATTTTTCCGATTTTGAACGAAGTAGGCAAAAATTGTCCCAACATGCACGTACGTATAATTAATAAACGCTAAAAATGAGGTCCCGGTGGTTGCACTTATTAGGATATTTAAAATGAATCACGGGAACCTTTTCGACTCCAATAAACTCCACAATACAGACTGAATGATCTTTAGACTCAAATTTTCCTCAAGGGAAATTGAGGACAGTTTTCGTATGCGGAGATAAAACAGGTTTTTTTTTTGCTAAAGTTCCTCTGATAAATTATCCCATCGGTGGTAAGGCATAAAGATTAAA